AAAAAAAGGCAACAGGCCTCACCTTCTTGTTGCAGGAAAGGGATGAAAAGCTCTGCCACGGTTCCACTCAAAGCTTGGCTAGAGGATCCAGAAACCACATGGTAACTGAGGCTGCCAATCCCTGAAAAGACAGAACCTTTCTCATTATTTCCCTAAGTACCAACACTTCCAGCTAAATCTAAAAACAACACAGGACAGGAATAACTCTTCATGCTTCAATTCCCTGCACACACATCTCTCCTCACTGAAGAGTATGCCAACAACTTGCTTGCAATATTCAGCTGTCTATCTCCTTACACACAGCCAGGTCAGAATGACAAGTCAAGGAATCCTAAAGGCTCAAATACAGACCTCTTCCATTCAGCCTTCTGCTGCACTTGCTCCACAAAAAAAATAAGTTTTCCTTTAGGATCCTCACCTGAAAGGACACTCATCTTCTGAGCAACAACTGTCAGTTTCCCCTCTGAGCCTGCCAAAGAGAAAAAAGTGGGCCACTTAATTACAGACAAGCAGATGATGACAACATGCTACTTCAAGAATCTTCCCTAACACACAAAAGCTTGCCCAATCCAGGCTGAGCTGCCCCTCTGATACACAGTTAATGACAACAGAAGATAGAATACAAAAAAACTCCTTGAAGCCAGCAAACCTTTATTAAACTCCACCTCCACTGCTCATCCTACAATTTACTCACCCCCCAGGATGGCAAAAAGATGTCTCCCCAGTGACTCCACAGCTGAAGGATCGCTACATTGTCGAGCCAAGTTCTTTAATGCCACAACTGCTTCATCCATCAGCTGCACACTGTTGGATTTCAGATGACCTAGAAAATGATGCATAGCTCCCTGTGACTAACTGCATACAATCAGCAAGGAAATATCTTTACACGTGGCCTAACTCAGCTGCTGGAACGTTACAGGAAACATTCCAGTTCCCATTTACAGCATCGTCCTCCCACCTACAATAAAAATCTCTTCAGGACACTAGTAACCAAGTCAGCACAGGTACATACAGAATGTTGTAGAAGGCCTTATTATCAATTCAACATTTTCTCCAGAAGTCATGGTACTTACTGGCCAGTCCCTTCACAATGTCTAGAGCATACTGGCTAAGGTCCAGGTTCACAGAGACGAGTAAGCAGGAGATTGCTGAAGACATAGGAGATATTAGGCATGTTACATTTTGTTAAGTAATTGCTTTTAGCATTTTAACACACCCTTCCCCACAGTCCACATCAAGAGCAGACAGGACCAGTAAAGATGCAGAAAGAAAAGACACTGAAATGGATGCCCAATCAACAGATTAATTCAGCATTATTCTTAGCACTCAGCTGTGAAATTCTGTCCTCTGTACAAATACTAGCCACCACATACGCAGACACTTGGGATCACACCACAAATGTTGCTTCTTCATAGCTACCCTTTAGAAGCAAGACAATTCTGCCACCTGTGCTCACAGGTCCAGAGTATCTCTAAGTGTAGCTCAGGGGAACACACACCCCCCACAGCTCCAGAGCTCTAAGGAACAACTATGCCCACTCCCAGGCAGAACAATGTAGAGAGATGACAGACTCACTTTCTATTACATTCTCAGGGCTCCGTAGCAGTGATTTCTGCAGAGTTGGCAAAACTAAATCCTTGAATTCAGTGTGAGACACATATCGAAGAAGAGGGGAACAGCTGTCCTGCAAAGGCAACAGCGCTCAGCACAGCAACGGGCCTTGCACACGGGTAAAAGCATAAACAGTCCGTCAAAATATGTCTCACCAGCAAGTGCTTCTGAGGCTTTGTCTTGCTCATAAGGACGGTCTTCATGTAGAAATCCAGAAGAGCACCCTGAAAAAAGCACACCAGTTACAGCCATGTCATAACCTAAATGTAGCAGGAAGATAGCCCTATCCACCACGCAGAATCTTTGCTTCCACTCTCGCACGAGAAGGTCCAGCATTTTTTTACTCTATCCTCCAGCCCAACACAAAACCCATGGCGAGTTAGCTACTGCCTTCCATTCCTACAGCAGGGAAGGAGGCAGCAAGCTGCAGTGTCAGCCAGCTACATAAATGCACAGGCCACAGAAAAGAGGTACATGTCCCTTAAAATTGCCCAAGCTGCCTTCACCACAAGTGTATTACCACCAAACTGACAGAGAATGAAGCCAGAAGCAGGTGTAAAGCACCATCCTCACTGAAACATCTGCCTGCACCCCTTCATGGAAAGCAAGGCTACTTATTAGAAAAGAAAGAAAAAAGAACAGAAAAGAAAAAAAGAAGGAAGCAGTACTGCATATTTACCTTGTGACGTTTAATAATATCAATCTCTTTTTGGGCTGTGCAAAACTGCACCACAAGTCCCAGCATTGCAACATAGCTCTGGTTTGGTTCCAGACTAAGAATGACAGATAGGTACTGATCCACCAGATCCTGGTTCTGGGAAAAAAAAAAAAATGCAAGAGATGTTAACAGAATCAAACCAAGAAATAAGGTCACCTAACTCACAGTTATACATCACCTCTTTCCACAGCCTGTTCAATTTCTTCACTGCTCCATCCACAGCATGCTTATGAGAACCTCCTAGGACTTCCAATAAGAGCAAACACTGAACCTCCACCTGCCAAGAGAAAGACATGCTTCTCACACAAGCTTCTTAAGACAGTCATCTCGTATCAGCTAAGAAGTGTCAGATGCCAGTGATCAGCTGAAACGCCCTAGGCAGAAGTCCTTAGCTTGCTCAGATAAGTTCGTCCAAACAGGCAAAATTAGGAGCTGCCATTGCTTTTGCCCCACACACAGCATTTTGAAAAACCACATATAAGAGTTTGGAAACCATGACTTACAAAACAACATTTTATAATCAAGTTACCTCTCTTCTTAAAAATTTAATCCAACCATATTCCAAGGTGCTAGGAACAAAGTTCCAGGGACAGATCATTAAAGCAGGCAAAAAGGAAGCAAGAGCTACTTAACACCATACAACAGAACACACGAGCAACTACCTTAAAGGAAGAACAAGGAGTGCAGAAGGACACACTGCAGACTAGATGTTAGAAGTGCCAATGTAGACTAGACCTTGAAGGCTGCACTATAGCACCTAGTCTCAAAACACTGGTGTATATATCACAGTACCCAGAGCAAGCCTACTCAGATACAACACTGTCAGTCTCATGCTTTATACACCTCCTGCCTTCTCCAGCTCAGGCAGAGAGATTAAAATACATCAGGAAGCATAAAAGATCACCACAGTTAAGAGGAGAGTAAAAGTCTTGCATTTTAGTATGACATTATTAGTCACATTGAGAGTTATTTGCAGTACTTCAGCAGCTCAGGGATTTTAGAAGTACTTGAGTCTTGATCTCCAAAGGGATATTTCTGCAAACCAGAGAACTTACCAGTTTTTTCCATGTTTCTCCCTGTCTCTTGTCAGGTGTTGGAAAGACCGTGCGTACAAGCAAGCATGTCCAGGAGAGCGCCAGCACAGCTGCAGACCCACTGCTCTTACTGTAGTAGAAGTGAGAAAAGGAAGAGAATCAACAGCTCCCATCATGTAACTCACTCCCACTAGTGCAGAATGAGCTTGTTTGTGCCCAAGCCAGAACACTACTAAAATGAGGCAACTTTATCATAGAAAACTAGAATTAAAGTCCCAGCTTTTAAAGCAAATAACTAGCACCAGTAAGCTATAATGAGTTTTGCTTATTGTGTTTCAGCTTTTAACACCCAGAATCTTCTCAACGGCACAAAGAAAGCTGAATCTCACCTGCTGGGAATGAGAAACCTTAGCTCAAGACAGACCTTTTTTGGATCTCTCCATTGGCAGTATAAAAGTTAAATACTTAGCCAGCAGAGACTGTCCAAAAAGTGATTCAAGATTTCTCATCTGCTGCGTCTCTTTACTGTCAAGAGCTCCACAACACTGACTGCCAAACCATTTCTCAGCTTACATTCCCTCCTGACACAGCTCTCAGCTCTGACTTATGCTAACTCCTTCCACTACTTCAAGTAATAGATCCCATCTCTTTGCTCCCTGAAGATCCTAATGCCTCTGTAATCTCTCTCTCAAAGTGAAATAATGTAGTAGTGTCCTTATGCACAAGGACATAATAGAAGTCTCTGAAGAGCCAGGCATTGCAACAGAGTAACCAGAAGGGTAAATATTATATCGCTGAAAACCTTTAAATCAAAATCACCTACTTTGGTAAAAGCTACTCTCTAGTTTAGCCACAGGGCAAAGAGGTTGGATGGAGGAGTCACAGAAGGGCGTTCTGGGATCCATATCAGACAAGAAGCTGAACAAAACCCTAATTTACCTTGTGGACTCACTCCCTAATCGGCATTTCCAGATGCTACACTACCACCTCTCACCTAAACCTGAAATTTCATTTTATATTCATATATCTATAGCAAGGTTTTGAAGCCAGCAGCTGAAGATGAGATGGAAGAGGAAATTCCCCTTCCCGTTTTGGTGGTTTTGGTGATCACTTCTTGATAAGAGATGTCTGTGATAGCCCCAGCCCTGAAGGTTAGCAAAAACAACACTAACTCAGACCCCTGCAAACAGCAGTGACACCAAGAAAACCGTTCAGCTTTCACCAAAGATGTGGAAGAGGTAAAACAGTAAAATTCAAACAGTCATCAACAATTTCATCTCTAAGTATTTCTAACTTTCACCTCTAGGAAGCATCAGAAGAATCATTCTGAGTGCAAAAGACCGACCACCAGCAGCTCAGAACCCGAACGGGCTGCACATGTAACACATCGTGCCGCACCTGGGAACTCCAGTCTTGCTGCTGATCCCTGAGGACTGAAGTGACTGCAGAAGGTTTTTTGCTGTTGCATCTGGCTGGGATTCGGCGAGCTGCTGAAGCGCCAGCTGCAGGGCTCTGCGGGATGCTGCGTCGCTAGCAGGGATTCAAGGAAAAAAAAATAAAATACAATGCTGTAAACATTATAAATCCTGCCAACATTTCTGAAACTACTCCACTCAAACCATATGAAGGGCTGTTTTATCCTTTCAGCAGCCTAGCTAATAGTTATTTTATCCTTGCTGTTCCAAGAAGTGAAGAAGTTTTCTTATCATTTACATTTCTGGCAGCAAGCTCCATTTCCTAGCTTTGCTGACAGAAGTTGTATCAAGGCACTTAAGTGAGCTGCAGGAAAAAGCACAAGTTCTGAAAACTTCATTTACAGTCAACCACAATTTAAATCTAAAAGTGTTCTCCCATGTCTTGGTCTTGCTTTGCAAGGACACAGTCATTCATTCCTGCAAACTAAATCACAGGGCGCAAGCTTTAATTTTGAAATTAAAAGTGAAACACAAGGTGTCATGAAACTTTTAATGTGGAGCCTAACTGAAGAGCCCAGCCACTACACAGCAACCCTCAGTGTCACACACATCTATGTGACACTGTACGCTAACATTTCCAGATGCTTTGTACCAGCTTAACTAATAAATAAGTAGATGCTTACAGATTAATTACACCAGCCTTTCTAAATAATTTACTTACCGGTATCGATGCAAAGTGAGGCAGAAGAGTTTGCAAAGGCCTTTTACTGCACCCTCAGGAAGATCTGTAACAGATTGTATTTCAAAATATTTATCCATAGATCACTGAGGTCTGACCTTTAAGAATACAAACACAATTCTCCTTACAACTGAAATCAGTGAGCTGCTCACAGCAGAACTACTCACAGCTCCTGTACATCTACAGGAGTGTTTCCGAAACTGTCAGGGTCTTATTCAGGGTGCTCTCTTTGTTTACATTTTACACATATTTGTAAAAAAGTAGAAAAATTGGAACACACACTGTTCCAAAGTCATTTTCAGAAAATGAGAGAAATCAGACAAATCTTTCAAAATTCTGTTTCAACAATTTTATTAAGACTAGTTAAAATCTTCCATTCATCTACTTTAGTTCAATATATAAATTTTTCATGGACCCTTACAAAATAAGTAGAATTAGGAGTTAAGCAGGCAAATGATACCTGCATAATGTTACATCCACGTACTTGAAAAAGCACAAAAGCTAATGACAGGAGAAGGCTCAGGATTACATATAATACCTATGGTTCAAGTTACTGCTGTGGGAACACACACATTCCAAGTGCTGTGACCCCACAAGCTTTAAAGCTTCACACAGCCCTTTAAATAAAATGTGAATGTTCCCACCTCAGAGACGGAATCGGTGTCCAGGCACACTTACCTTTCCCAGTAATGCACTTTCCCAGCTCGCTGAGGATCTCTCTCCGTTCCTTCACGCTGGCTGTCGTTACCTTTACCGCGAACCGCTTCAGTGTATCGGAGATCTAAAACCATCATTTACACACAGAGAGGAGAAAACATCAGCCTGCCTTGTGCAGCAACAAGCAGAAAAGAATATCAAGGCAGACAAAACGTGCACGTGGGCAACCTCTTCCACACCAGATGCGATCACCCACAGTCTTGTCTTTTAGAGAAAGGGTCTCTGCGTATCAGACAGGAGGCAACTCAAAAAAAACAAACAAAAAACAAAACGAAAAAAAAAAACACAAAAAACCCACAAAACTTCTTGAAAACTCCATCTGTGGTTTCCTGCTCTCAATAGCTGTGAGAGTTGAGCTCTGGGACAAGCAGGAAGCACGGGGAATGCCTCCACTCTTGCCAGACAGGCCCCCATCTCAGGGTTTTACAAGTCAGGCTTGACAGGTTACTAAAAGTGACACCTCAACAAACTCCCTCTGGTTCTATCAACAGCAAACAAGATTACAAAAAGGAAACAAATTTAAAAATCCATACCACAAAATTGAGAGTGTTTCTTATCATGTCTCCTCCACTGCCTGTTTACTCTACACCTGAATCTACCAGCAGCCAACCCTGGGACCCCTCATATTAACTCCTGCAAACAGTTCCAGTGTCCAGGCAGGATCTATGAAAAGGCTAGAAAGAAGTTTAACCTCTTAGTGAGCTGCTCCTCATAATGACTGAAGATATCTAAACGAACTTTCATCTCTCATAAAATATGCAAGTCAAAAGACTTCATGTGGACTAAAAAGTAGGCTTAATAGGGGCTAGTCTCTGCCTTTAGATAAACCAAAGCAACAAGTTCTGCAGGGAACTCTTACAGGTCACCTCAATGTGAGCAAGCAGACCTGCAGCCCCATCCTCACAGGCGCAGGCCTGAAGCTGCAGCAGCACCCGCAACACTTAGATCCCCCAGCATGGGAAGCAGGGCCGCCAGCCCTCACCCAAAGATTCCGCTGTGTAAAAAAAAAATACCTTAGAAGCTCAGAAAACCTGATTTTAGGAACAGCAGCGCACAGTAGATCCTGAGAAGCAGTAAAAGCTCTTCCTTTCCCTCCTGGCATGAGCTCTACCAGCAGCCTCTTTGTACAAACACAGGAAACCCGCCAGGCTTGACAAATGGAAACTGCCGCTGTTCCCCTCACCAAGCGTTTCCAGTAAAACTTTCCTGCCAGGACGCAGGAGGAAAAGAGCTTCAGAAAGGCTTCCCGGGGTTTAGGGAGGTGCCCAAGTGCCTCTAAGTGGCAGCCTGGACCCAGGGCACGCTCTGAGCAAGCTGGGAGCAGGTCTGCACCTCCGAGCAGGATCGGGGCAGCCTGCCAGGGACGGCTGCTGCCATCGTCCAAACTGGCAAAACGAGAAGTCTCAAACCACGCTGCTCTCCCGCGGAGCCTTTTCACCACACGTGCCCATCGCAGGCAACCCAGGCCTGGCAGCGCTGCTCACACCA